TTGGTATTAAACCAAAACGCTCCTATATGTTGTTTGTCCTGAATGCTGAAGCCATCATGTGCTAGCGTATGCGTCATTCTGGTGTGAATCATCAATCAATAACTCCCCTAACCCCACTGTTTTTCTCATTTTTATGAATTTTTTTTTGGTTATCTGGATGGTTTACACGTCGCTCCTCATTCCGGCTCCTCGCGTACGCCTGCGTGACCGCTCGTAAGCGGTCACCGGTCCAACGATTTTTTTGGGCGCGGGTTGGAGCCGGTTTGACTAAAAGGATATTTTGCAAAAAAGTCCTTGTATTTCCACGAAATATCGTATACGTCCTTGGACTGGTTCACACCCGTTGTGTTTGTTGCGAAAAAGCCCTCCTATTTCACAAATATACAATGTGAAGAAGAGAAAATTCCGTTTTAGGGGTAGAGCTGTAAATATTAAAAACTAAGGGGTTTTTTCGAAAAACAACCACTTATACCCCAAACCCTAACCACGGGCTGTTCCCTACTCCCTCACCGCGCGGCCGCCGCCCCACCCACGCCCCGTGCTCGGCGCTGGCGCCGGCGCGGGACTCCCCTCGCCTCCGTCCGCCCTCCCCGAGTCACCTCCGTCGTCGTCCGCCCTCCACCCGCCGCCGCCGACGTCGTCCGTCCTCCCCCCGCTCTCCGTTGCCTCTCCTTGCAGGCCGTGCGACGGCGCGGCTCGTGGCCTCGTCTCCGGTGCCGCCGTAGCCAGATCCGGCCCTCCCACGGCTGGATCCAGCTCCGCCGCCGCTGTATCTGGCGGCCGGAGGAGACGGCGCGACGGAGGAGGATGGCCGCGATAGCTTCGGACGACGAAGCGGCGGAGGGCCTTCCCCGCGAGGGGTTCCGCTGCCGCCACCGTCACCCGTCGCCTCCGCATGCCCACACACACCACGATCTGCCGCCGGTGCCTCCTCCCTCCTTACCCCTCCCCTTGTGGTGACGTCGACGGGACGGAAGGCGGACGCGTCCATCAGGGCTTGAGGTGGCGGCGGAGCTGACCGCGCGACCGCCGCCCGTCGGAGCCGGTACTCCCTAGCCCCTTCTTCATGCGCCACCGCCGCCTCCTCGTTCTTCCCTAGCCGTCGTCACCGCCCGTACTCTTCATCTCCCCAATGCCGCCGCTTCCTCTCTCTCGCCCTCTCGCCCCGCTCGGTGGGGTGTCGGATTTGACGAGCAAGGTCAGCGGCGAGGAGCAGGGCCAGCGGATGTGGCAAGGTGGCGAAGGCCTCAGCAGCCGGCGGTGGGCGCTCAAAGCGGACGAAAGCGAGGCCGCCGGCGGCCCCATCAACCGCCCTACCCACCACCCCTAACCCCCCGCGCCATGTCGTCCTCCCGCTCAGGTGCCTATTTCCACCACCCCCCCCCCCCCCAACACCCGTGCCTCCTGCCGCCGTCGCTCCCACCCCACCACCGGCGGTCCTCTTCCTCCCGGTCGACGTTGCTAGCCGATGCCCCTTCTACCTATCAACCCTATGGCTGCAGTCTGTACCGTCCCATACTCCCGACGCTGAGCCGTCCTCGGGGAATGCCGGATCTGGCACCTTGTCGCCGGATTGGCCCCGGTCTAGGGCCGGACGATTGCAACTCGCTGTGGCTCAAGTTTTGTTGTCGGCTCTTCCTCCTTCCGAAATACGGACGCATTGGTTGGATGACAGCAGACATCAGCCCATGATTAAGCGTTGCGGGCGGCGACGACGACCTTGCCGTATCTGTGTAAGTGATGAGTTTTATGGAGTCTTTATTCTTCAGACTACTGGAAGTTTCTTTTTGTCCAACCAGGTTCTTGCGATGTACTGGAAGTTCCTAAACCTTTTTTTTTCCTGAACGTGTTCCTAAGAACACTTGAGGCTGTTATTTTGGTCGATTGCAAAGCAATTTGAATTAACAAATCCCAAAGCAAAGCGGTAGTGACGAGTTTTTTATGTGCATGTTTTACTGCCTCGGCGGTGATGCAATCATTCAGGTTTTTTGTTCGACTGCATCTTACCTATTCAAACTGCAGGAAAGTATTGAATTATTGTGGGTTCTGGTGGTTTTTATGCTGACTTGTTCAGTTGTTCTCGGTGGTGTTCTTTTTTTTATTATTGGACCACTGTATGTGCCTCGTGTTAGTCTGTTTCTTGTTAAAAAAAATTGCATGGCTCATTATAGTATCCTACTAGGCTTTTCATGCTCTAGGTTCATTGATATACAACTTTTCTGAATGTGAATGAGCTCCTTGAACCTGGATTTTGGTTAGGCAGATTATCTGCATTATCTTTTACACTATTGTATTTGGTTAATTGGGTTATCTATGTGAGGCCAGATGTAGTGATTGGTCTTACTTGTGATGCTAACAAGCATGCTTTCAAAAGGTAGACATACTTACAGAATTGTTCTTTTGGAAAAATGGAACATGAACTGTGATTTAACGCTCTTATCAGTCAATAGCCATCCTTTTAATTGTAATTTTCATATATAGAGCAGAACTACCTAGCATTTCCCTGATGCTATCATAACACATGAAACTGACAGCGAAAATTGAAGGGCCTAATATTTATTTTGTCCTACAATGTTGCACTTTGTAAAACTATAAATAAAATTATAACTCATTGAGCCGCATCCTTTCAGAACATGTTAAAGTCTATAAGGCTCTCATGCCTAGCTTGACAGTTAAAGCTCAATTGGAACTGAAGATCTATTACCATCTAACGTTCATTGCATACTGAAAATTGGATTAGGTTCTTTTAGAGCTTAATAGGGCCTGTTTTTTTATAGGTTATGGTGTTTTGCCACACTTGACTTTATTATTAACCAGATCTACAGTCCTTGACAATACTCCTACTTCAAAGCATTCATTGGATGATCGCAGACCCTTGATCAGTAAGCAACCGATTTATGGCTTGTGGTTGCTGCTTGATCTCCTCACCTCTCTTGCAGGGGTAAGAAAAAGCAATGTACGAAGCACCATAAAAGGTAATTAATTTTCTCATCATAATATCGCAGATAGAAGCTTAGAAAATACCTACTTTTGGTTGCTAGGGCGAATTACCAAAAGTGGTGTACAATCAAATGGTTTGCTGCAATCCTTTTGCTTACCTACATGCCCTAATATATTAGATCGATCCCAAATTGCTTTATGTATCGTGTATCTTATTATATGTGCATAGGTCCTAAAAGAGTTGTTGAAAAATACATCTCTGTTGTCCCACATAGAATACATGATCTCTGTTGTTCCATGGCTTGCATGGATTACCTAGCTAATATATTCTACTCCTATCCTCCTTTATTTATTTTTAATTATTTATCTTATTTACTTCTGCAAATTATTCCCATACCAAACTAATTCAGTTGTGCCTTCTTGCTTGCAGGTAAGGATGTGCTCCATGTAAGGACTTTGGAGTTGCTGGCATAGCAGAGAATTGAATGACTGCTTTTCTAAGTGCAAGCAATTGTGTTCTTTGGGTTTTATACTAATTCTCAAACTTGATGATATTGGGCTGGTCGCCTCTATATTAGCTAACTCAATAGAGCCCTTTTCCGTTATAGCATCTTTACTTTCCAAATTTTTTAATTTGTAATTTCTTTTTATATGAGCAATTGGTACTATGAATGTACGAGACATATGGTCCTACATCCTGTATGTCTGGGGAACGGGAATTGGTTGGGAAAAAAGGTTACCATGTGGACTTATTTTTGTTAGGCCCATGTTGTTCAACTAGCCCTGATAGTTTCCTAAAACTTTGTTTAATTTAAGAAGCTATGTAATGATTCTATTTTTGGTGTACAAGATATTGGCATTATGTTACACATAGATGTGTTTTGAAAGCTAAATAAAATTACATAGCAACATTTGGTCAACAATAGCTATATGTTTAACAGTAGCTTTGCTTAAGCTGTTAATCATATCCTTGTGTGCGCAGCTGCGCGCGGCGTGGCGCCGCGCTTATACTTCTAGTATATCTGGTGCTTCTTCCTCAACCTCTCTTGTCCTCCCTGCTGCTGCTCCGAGAACATGAATGGATTCATAAAGTTGATTCGTGTAATTAAATGCCACATTCTGCAACTATGGACGGTGGCACGGCGCGAGTGTGTGCGACATTGGCTGGTGACTGATAGTATTTGTGGCGTGTGCGCGGTTGATCATTTATTTGTCTCACTCTTCCGCAACTAGCCTGTACTTGTTCTTGCTGAGAATGCTAACAATTCCTTTACGTAAATTTGGCTTCCTTGCTGTATTTGCTTGCAGTATCTCAGTCGTCGTTGATTTCGACTAGCAGATCTTCTATCTCGAGCTTGATGGAGGTAAAAAAGAACCAAGGAAAAGACGCAATTTTGCTTTACAGTATATAAATCGTCGGTGCAATTTGTTCGGAAATAAATAGTGGACTGGCACGCGCAATCACAGGAAGAGTTTTCTTTAATTTTGTGGCTTAATGGAGAGTGACTAGATGATAAATTGAATCAAAGAAGAAAGAAGATTTCAGTTTGTTCTTTTTTGCAGGAAAAAAAAAGAATGCAGTTTTTGTAAGATCGGATTCAGACTTAAATGCGGCTCATACTAATTGGCCCAGAATGGGATTTCGATTCCGTGAGGCCTATATATATGTTGGGACGTGAGGCCCATAAATATTGGGCCAGAACGGGATTTCGATTTCAAGAGGCCCAATAACGGGAGTAGGAGTTACGTGCGGCCCATATTAGGCCTAACGGGATTCTGACTTGTGGGCCACAATGATTGGGCCGCAACTGGATTTCGATTACGTGCGGCCCAGTCAACGGGCTTGGAGCTTCGCATGGCTTTGGACTTACGTGAAGCCCATTTTCGCTGGGCCCGTTGATATATGGGGCCCAGGAAAGTTAATCCGACCGCCGCGAAAAAACAGCAGTCCAGATGAGTAACATGGACCATCTCTGCAACTGCAGTTGATTTACACCATGATTTGATGATTGATTTAACTCAGATAAAGAAAGGCATAGTTTATCAACGAGGCAAAATAGGATGTGAATATGTGATCCAACTGATGGTCAATCATTGAGCTACTACCAGAGATGTTCAAAACATTTCAGTCAGTGATGCGCATCTATTGTGTCAGAACTCACAAGAGAGATGCAGTTAACAGATTCACATACTTTCATCTAAACTGAGGTGATCTTAACCCAGAGCCCATCTAAAATAACAGTATACAAGAATGGACAACTTGTAGTCAGCTTCAACCAAATGAAATTCATCATCTTGATCATCAACCCTTGTTTCAGTTTTTACTGTGCCCTTGGAACCCATCAGTTTCTTCCACTTTCGTCTTGCAGTCTGGTCTGATCTTGCAGAAACAGCATTTGAACAGTCCCCTGCGAGGCAAAGCTCCATTTTGATAAGGAGCACCAGCACGGCGCTGTAGAAGCTTCGAGAAACAGCCTCGGCGAGCTCTGGCTTCGTCAACCTTTGGTGTGTGCCCTCCAGCTTTGAAGGAACCATTTCCTGGAGTGGATGCTTCAGGTATGACTGAAATCTTCTGATAGCTCAAGATCCTCGACTCGGTATCCACCGCGTCGCCATCTGTAGCATGGAGGCACCCCAGAATGTGCGACGGCTTCTCCTTTGGTTGCACCGCGAGTGGAGAAGGGCACTCTTTTCTTGATGAAGCTACTGTTCTGCAACCTGCGGCAACTGGATCTTCTGTCTCCTGATCTTCTCTGGATTGCATGACCAGGCTTACTGATGAATTCTTGGATACAACTCTGTTGCTGGTGGAGATTGGGGAAAGATTGATCCTGATATCCACATTGCACTTTAGCAAATTCTGCAGAGAAACCACAAATGGATTCCAAAAGCTCTCTGTTGTAGGTACATCCTCGGGGTGGCAGAACTGCAGCTCAGCAACTGCTACACCTGCAATCCAAAATTAAACAGAATGAGTTCGACTTGAAAATTCTGCAGTGCCGGCATGCAATGATGCTACTAACATGCAGTTTGGATTCATGGCCAGTGCTGAACGGCAATTACTACAGAACTATGGGAAGATATGTGTTAAAAGCATACTGACAATTATCTGCCACCTTATCAAGAACACTAGCTTATCCACAGATATACCTGTTTACTATACATGACACATCATACATCAGTTCAGACAAACATGTGCTTTCTGGAAAGCAACATTGATCAACTGGCTGAATAAGACGTATGATGGATCAGCAGGAAACATAGTAGGAAGTATGGAAATGTTCTTGTTATAGATAAGATGACAAATGAATCTGCCTCCCAAACAAAACAGAAGAAAAAGGATCCAACACACAGTTACATGGATTACCTTGAGTGGTGTACAGGGATGACAACTTCCCATCTTTTCTCAACAGACTATGAAGTGGTTTAGACGTGCAGTTCTCAAGAGCCTTAATCCATATGGTCTCGAGCACATCTGGATCTCCTAAGTTCATATCTAAACAACCGATTTTGTTCTGATAGCAAAGATGAGAACTGGTATCTAAGCTTTCGTCTTTCAAGATAGCAGCCCCATCATCTGCATAATAAATAGCTTTCAGTGAGCATGAGAAAGTGACTCAGTCATCAGAGTTTCGTTCCATAACGATATTATACAGGAAACAGATTAACCCCCATGGGTACAAAATAACTGACACTAATGTAATACCATATGAAGTAGAGAATGCCATTTACCTGTCTGACTCTCTGTGAACATGCTTGAAACTGCAGCATCATCTAGGCAGTACGGCTCTCTCATATTAAACTGTAACAGCGCTGCTGTAAGCCATGTAGACTGGTTCTTTGTGGTTTTCAGCTGCTTTTCAGTTTCAGAAAGTATTTCCAGTGCATTTCTAAGTTTGTGCACATCAATTTCAGCCGCTGTAAAGTTAAGATACAGGATTAGATGATATGTGTATGACACATTAATGTGAACTGTGAGCATAATAATTATCATATATAATAATGCTAAGCTAATATGTCATGTTTAAAGGTTGGAATTATCTTCAAGATAAGGACTCCATATTGCAGTGTTATGTTCGGCATTAACAATAACAGATCTGCAGGTAATCCGTGTGTAGATTGTACAATTTTAAAGTTTGTTTGGGAGGGAAGGAGCATACATGTATGTTTACCAGTAACCTTTCTAACTTCTTGGGAATCTGACTGGTGCCTCCCAGCTAAAATATCCATGATAAGATTTGCAAGCTGAGCTAATAACTGCAGGGGGTCAACCTTTGAGCTCAAAAGCTCCCTAGCCCTCCTGACAATGGTAGCAGCATCCGATGAAAAAGCCAGATTAAGAAGATCAAGCAACTCCTCATCTGAGACATCGCCTATCTGAAAAAAAAAAACAGCATAGCAAGTTGATGTATGTTCACTGAATATGAAACAAGGCAATTTATTTTATGGTGGTAAATATTTCAAGGCTAGAAAAGCTGATTGATTAACTTACTAGGTCATATGTTACTGATTTGCTGATCCTTTTTCCTAGCAGAGTAAGCTGGTCAAGCATTTGAACTGCATCTCGAATGGAACCGTTGGCCTTGCGAGCAATAAGCTCCAGTGCTTCGGCCTCGAACTCCATACCTTCATTTATGCAAATCCTACTCAATCGGAGGGCGATCTCTGCTTCGTCTACCTTGCAAAACCTGTAGCTCTGGCACCATCCAACTGAATTACTTGGCAGTTTATCAATGTCAGATGTGATCATCACAAAGATTGAGCTGTCAGGGATGCCTTCAAGGCTACTGTAGACAGAGTACCATCCCTCCTTATCCATGTGTTGGCAATCATCCACAATAAGAACCTTGAAGTGCGAAGAAGCAGGAACTTCACAGGCATTCCTCAGCAAGGCAGCAACTCTAGATTTGCAATCCAGTTTAGAAGCATCAATCTCTATCACACTGCTACTGTTTCCTGAGAATATGGCCATGCATTCCTCACAGTGCCCACAAGGCTGGTTCCCACCTGAAGAGTGGCAATTCAGTGATGCGGCAAATATTCTAGCTGCAGATGTCTTTCCTATGCCATGTGGACCATGGAAGAGATAGATTGGAGCAAGTTTTCCTTTCAAAACAGCACTTGAAAGAGACTGAGCAACAACATTTTGTCCAGCCAGCTCAGAGAAAGCCTTGGGCCGGTACTTTTGAAGCAAACTTCTCGCGCTTTCTTGAAATGTAGCTCCCTCCCTCCGACCCAATTGCTCTCCTTCAATCATCAAAGAGGATGCCCTGTCCTTTGTTGCCCTTGACATCCCCGAGATCACCGAGGAGCAGGTCTGGTTATGAAGCGCCGCCTTGACCCTCGCATTGGCCTTGATGATGTTGATCGGCGAGTTCACCAGCCGACCAGACCTCGCGCTGTCCCCAAACTCCTCCCTCCTCCTCTGGAGATGATCATACATGTTGTAACTAAAGCTGTGCCTACCATAATTGCTCCCCTCCAGGTCATCTTCCTCGAGAGAACAACCCTCCCAGATGGTCTTCTTCGCCGAGAACTTGGCCAGCGAGTTGGTCTCAGGGTCCCTCAGAGATCTGGACCTCATGACGGCCAGTAGAGCCCTCGAAATCGGGATGTCAACGGAGTGCCTCCTCCCCTCAATCATCTTGCAAGGCCCCAATGAACTATGCTGCAATGCAGATAAATAACGAGGAACAATTCAGTCTTCAGTAGAGAAAGGATGTGCAATTAGGCATTGCACAGTCAACACAATCTTCAAACATGGTGCACACTCCACAAAAAAACTAATCTTTTTTCGATCTTGTATGCAAGGAGCAGAGAAACCATCAACGCAAAATCTGCAGAAACAATCGCTACCTGCGGTTTTACCTAACCAGCATTGCCATGCAAACAACTTGCCGAGATAGGCGGAGCCAAGAAAAAAATTGCAGATTGTAGATGGAAGTCAATCGGGCGCCTGGATGCAAACATCCATAGAAAAACCTTGCAACTTGCAAAGGAGAGCATAATAAAACTCAAATGCAAAATGCATCCAAGAACATGAAAAAAAAAGAAACAAAAGAAATGGAGAATTTCAAGGCCTACATAGTACATACCGAACGATCTCGCAGGCGGTACAAAAACCTCGCAAAAGGGGGCAAAAGAAGAAGAGAGGAAACGACGCACAATTCCCCATAGAGGAATTAACCTCAAAGAACAGATAGAACCAAAAAAACAAAAAGAAAATTGGAAACATTTTCGCAGCTCCAGACGACGTGGCACGCAGGCCGAAGAATCCAGGAGAAAGGACAAACAAACAAACACCACCGACCGAGAGCAGCAAGAACGGAAGAGAAAGATGGGGATTCGGAACCGAAGCATTTACCTCCCCCCCAAACACGAACGACAACCACAACGACGACGACGCAAGACAACAACGCCGCGGCTTTTCCGCACCTCCACCTCCACCGCCACGGCCGCGCGCCGCTCCCTCCCTCCTCCGTTCACCACCACCACCACCACATTAATAGCGCGAGCACGGCATGGAGACTCGAGGAGAGAGAGAGCGAGAGGAGCAAGTGAGCGAAGCAGCAGGAGGGGGGACTAGGCGAGACTAGACTAGAGTGGCAGAGACGTAAATACGCGCCAAGGTGAGGGGTAGTTTTGCCCCGGGAGGCGCGGGGAGGAGGCGGGCTTAGGGGTGGATATCAAGCTGGCTCGGCTCGGTCTAGCTCGTTAGGATAACGAGCTAGATTACCGGCTCGGCTCGGCTCGTGTGTCAGCTCGAGCCAGCTCGTTTAGCTCGTGAGCCACAACAAGGAAAAAGAGTAGTGGCGTGTGCAGTGGGAGGAGGAAGAGGGCAAATGCTCACAAACCAACAGATTTCAAAGGAAAATGGATATGATGATATATCACTAGCTTGCACTGATCGATTACTGCAAAACAAATGCAATTCAGTGGCCGGATTAAACCGCTACTGCAACAGAAATCAAGGGGCATTCCAGAACTGAAAAATGCAAATGAGGAATCAATAAAAATACGCAAAGAGATAATCATCTTGAAAGAGATGCACAAATGATGGCTTGGGTGGTCTCGTTCACCCTCCTGACTCCTGCTCCCTCGGGGTGTAGTTGCACTGATGCCGACGAAGCCACGGAGGCGAGGGCTGGCAGCGGGGCCGATTGAGGCGAGGGTTGGCGTCACTATGGCCTACGAGCAATCTACACGCGACCTCGTCGGCGGGCGGCGCAAGGCGCCGTGAGACGCGGGGAGCGAGCGGCGCTCTCGTCGCGCGGCGGCGTGAGGAGCGGAGAGCAAGCGGCGCTAGAGTAGAAAGGGGATCTGGGATTCACAGAATCACAGTGCGTAGACAAGTCACGTGCGTGTGTTTCTCCATCTAGGGCTAGTGCTATTTTTTTTCTTGATGGGCCAGCTCGACCGCTTCATATTATCTCTTTGGACTATTGGGCAGCTGGGATCTTTGGCTGTTGGGCTTGGCTCGTTAGGCTCGTGAGCAGCTCACGAGCCAGCTCGAGCTGGCTCGTTATAACAAACGAGCTAAAACCCTAGCTCGGCTCGTTGACAAATTTAAACGAGCCGAGCCGAGCTAGGCACGAGTCGAACGAGTTATCGAGCCACGAGTTTTCTGTCCAGGCCGAGGGAGGAGGGAGAAGAAGAGGAGGCCACGATGGCACCCACCCGTAAATACGCGGGGGATTCGAGGGGCGTTTCCGTCATTTCGTGGCTCCGTCCGTGGCACAACCCCGAACCGTAAAACGGACGGGACAGCGTGGAGCGGCGGTGGCGCGGGTACAGGTTGATGACAGGTGGGCCCCGGGCCCACCTGTCAGTGAGAGGGCGACGTGGGTGGGGGGAGACGTTGCGAAGGGCGTGGCGGTGTCGTCAGATTTACTGTTGCGGCATGCGAGGCCCCGTGACCCCACCGCTGCTGCTTTTTTTTTTTACTGATTTTTTTCATCTCTTGCCACCTGTGCTGCAATAATTTGTTTTTTTTCTTTTTTTTATTTTGTTGTGATTCTCTTTTATCCTCTGTCATAGAATTTTGGCAACAGGATGACTAAAAAGATAGGACTATTGTCGTGTAGCCTGAGGTGTGATTTAACTTTTTTGACTCGGAAAATGTTTGTCATTAACCCATAGTACAAGTTTGTATCAGGGTGGTAGGAGTACTAGTACAAGTTATTAGTTGATCAAATTACACGTCATTTGATTATGTGTGAGCTTTGAAAATCTGTTTCATGCTTTTATATGTATACTAAACTCTAAAACTGGCCTTAATATGTTCAGTAATCAGTCGTGTACTAAAAATTTGTCAGGAGTATGGTTTAGAAGATTTGTGGCTTTTATTCAAAACATATAGCTAGAGGCAAATTACTTGTGTTTGTTGCCGCATGCCAACAATGCTTTCTTGCTATATTAGTTTATCAGTATGATAACAACATTGTCAGATATAATTAATTAATGTGTTCTGAATTTTCTTATATCCTTTCTCAGTTCTCACCGATATAAAAGCAGCTGGCAATCGATGTGGTTTTGAGCAGGGAAACTACTCCAACACCATAATCTGTTTCTCTCTTCTTTTAACAAGGATTCGGTAGAAATGATCCACAAGGGGGGGGGGACCAAGACTAGTTGGTTCCGGCGACTTGTTTGGTGATTTTCTAATCATTGTTTAGTGATTGATCAATGGTCCAACATGCATATGGCACAGTCTTCGAATCCAATCAACTCAAGCATGCATTTGTATTTGTCGCTTTATTAACTTGTAGGACAGAACGATAGCCTCTTGATCTTTGCATCATTCAAGAGTTGATCGATCGGGTTATCATCATCAGAAACATGGCCGGCCCTGCTCATCATGCATTTCTCCAACTTAATCTTTTCATTTGTAACTGAGGATTAATTATCCACTGTAAAAATGTTTGTGTGGCTAATAAACAGTCAAACAGCATTTCGAAGTTATTTTAAGTATTCATACTTTATAACTTTAACTATGTTATCTGCACTTGGAGTGGATGATACGTCTCTAATCATAATCAAATCAGTAGTAGTAGATAGTATCATAATGTGTAGAGAGGTATAGCCGTATAGGGGGTAAGACAAACAGTGTAGCTTGCGGTGACAGTAGGTCGTCTCGTCTGAAAAGATTCGACCTTAATTAGTTTGACTCTTGGTTTAGCAGTTTAGCTTACGCTGGAGCTAAGACAACAGGGGCAAACAGACACAGCTGACAACCGAGCCCAACGTTGAAAAGGCTATCATAAATTCATAATTATGCTAGACACATTAGAGATTTGTTTACTCACCTGGTTAGCTTATTCTAATCATCATTCGACACCCACATGGGCACAATAGTAAAAAAAATTATACTAAGCAAACTGGTACAGTTGTTCTAATTGCAAAACAATGTAAAAAAAAGTACAGTATAACCAACACTGTTCTCTCTTCTTCTTCCTCTTCATGTAAAAAGAGTTGCACACGCTGCAATCAGCCGTAGAGGAGCCTGTGCTGTCGCCAGTCGCCTGAATTTTCTGGAGGAGGCAGACAAGACGGGCTCATTTCCATGCTTGTGTTGCATTGCTGCACGATCTTCCTGTCCATGAGATTGTGACTTGTAATGGCGAAATCTTCAGAAAAATTCTCCATTGAATTGCCACCGAATGTCCATGAACCCTAGGTGAAGTACGAGCGGCAGTATCACAGCTCTGGCTGGCTAGCTAGATCTCGTTTAAGCTGGCAATGGAAGGTACTACTGTACTGTCAGTGAAGTGATATTAACGCAGATACAGTGACCCCATCGCTGGGACAGGATCTTCTTCATGGTGCAGGAGTAATTAAACGCCTCTTCAACGGGGTTCTTGATTTTACCTGTCTGGTGCAGGACACGGTACTACATGTACACCAACTTCTTCTGAACCGAGAGAGGTTTCAATGTAACGGATGGACCCCCACCACACGATCTCTTATTGCACAACCAGAATCCTTCTTTAGAGGACATGAACTGATAAAAGGGGAACTTGAATAGTAGTAATATGTTTTTTTCAGTACTAAAATTATGTCTTGAACATAGGCCTCACTCCCGCGAGGGCGGCACGGGTGGTGCTACCGTCGCCGCCCATCTCCCCCTCCCTCTGCCTTGCCATCGCTAGAGCGAGCGGGCGACAAGACGTGTAGCGTGCTAGGATAGCAACGGTGGGGCTCTCAACTATAGATATAGGGGCTTTGGATAATAGGGGGCGGTGCCGCGGCGTGCCATCCCAGCTCACAAATCACGATGGCGGTGTTAGGTGCAAGTGACAACTTGACGGTGAGAGCAATGCGTCGTCGAGGTTGTGCAGTGATTAGCAACCCATTGAACGAGGTGCAGGTGCAACCAGGGAAGCGAGGCGACAAGGTGTGGCCTTGAAGGTAAGGTGGCCGGTGCTTCGTGGGCCCTACTGGCAATTGATGGTTGCAGCCTCCTCCCTTCACGATGGTGGTGATGGTGGGCATCCATCATCCACAACGGGTGCACAACAAGGTACGAAGGAGGACAGGAGACAACAACGTGTCAGATCCCATGCCAGGGAAGGGTGAGTGCACCCAACCTTTGTGATGATCTAGGGTACAAAGGTTTGGGGCGGCGGCGATATGTCACGTCCAGAAATTTAGCCCAAATTTCCAGACTATTTTTGTGTATTAAATCCCTGTCCAGGACCAGCCAGGGTACACAAAACAACAAGTAATAAACAGTTCCAAACGTAAATAAAGCGTAAAATATTTACAGAAGAGGCACTTAGTCCTCACACCGAAAGAGAACGACAGCAGCGGAAAGAGGCGATCCTAGCGGGGCTTCAACTCCACTCCTCAGGCAAAACTCAACTGGGTCTGAGCCTTGGTCTTCTAACTTCGTCTTCAGCTCAGAAGCACTACACTTCTGAAAAGGGGGAATAATAGCAAGGCTGAGTACAACCACCGTACTCAGCAAGCCACACCAAAGATGCAGACGTGCAAGGGGATACAAGGATGGCTTGTGGCTATTTGCATAAAGGCGATTGTAAAGTATTTTATTAAGCAAAACGGTAAAACTGTTGAGTAATTAAAGTAATATTAAATCTCCACTGATCAACGCTACACCACGTTGAACAGGCCCAACCAACCCACCTGAACTACAGTGCATTGGGTCGATTTATTAAGTGTGAGACTAATCACGGTGATTCTGGTCGATCGCCCATAACCGCGGGCACGGCTATTCGAATAGTTTTACTCTGGCCAGAGGTGCACAACTGTACCCACAAGACACAATCCACCGGCATGTCACTGTGCCCGGCCGGACACGTCACCATGTCGAGTGATTATGACAAGACCCTTCATATACCCCACTCTGACCAAGCATACCACACCTCAGGTTTCACCCCCGCCCCTAGCAGGCAGCGGGCAGTCCCCTCTCGTGCCTAGGTGAATCCGGAAGCGACAGAGGCAGTCGCAGGGCCCGCCCCGCTCCATCACGCCCATCCTTGCCTGGATGCGTCAGCCAGAGAAAAGCTATACTTCAAGTCAGGCAGTTACCCTTTCCCGCTTGTGGCAAGCGTTGTATGTCTTCCAGTGCATCCCGCGAACCAGTCCTTAATTGCCATGGGTGCGACCAGCAAAACCATGCACCCACAGCCCACCATTCAGTCGCATTTTAGTTGGATAATTACGACCATGAAACATAGCCAAATGTCTCGAGCACGCAGCTTGTTCTGATACTAACAAGGTCTAATACTGCAATTATCCCATCGACTGAGCTAGTGGTAATTAAGCATGGCTAAGCATATAGTTCTAGCTAGATCAACATAAGTGACACAAGCTAGTCGAATTATCACCCACGGTTGACAAAGGACAGGTATCAAGTAAACATGGCACAAGCGAGCAGATAGGTAATTCCCAGATCCCATGTAACTAGCAAGACATGCATTATTTGCAAATGGTAAAACACTTGTAAATTAGGATCAAAATGCTCAAGGGGAATGTGTGATTTGCCTTGCTTCTTCAAACAATCTTCTGAACTCTTATCCTCGCGACCGCGATCTTCCGAAACGACGGAAACTACACGCTGGCATGCAAAACGAGGAAAAACCCTAATAAAAACCAAGTAAACAGTACAAAAAAAGTAAACAAACATGTAGAGCTACATTTTAGATGAATTTTGCAAGTTGAACGGCTCAATTCGGAGTTCATATGAATTAGATATGAATTTTAGAAGTTTTTAGCCGTTTAAATGAATTTCTAGAATTAAACTCGATTTATTGCGCAATTATTAATTATTTTCTCAAGGGAATGGTTGCTGCTGACGTCATCAAAAGGGGGAGGGCGGCGCTGGCAAGCGGGCCCCACCGGTCAGCGGCACAAGGGCACCAGTCCACCGTGG